GGTCTTTGCAGTCCGTTGTGAGACTTCATGTCCAACACCGCCACCAGTCGTAATGCAACTCCCTAGATATGTAAAGCAAGGAACTTTCTCCAGAACCTGTCCAGCAATGGCAAGCGCGGTTTCAGGCACCTGCCAGTACTGGAGCAGCGTGTTACATTTTCCCGGAGTGAAGTATAGGCCGCACTTAGACGCCTCCATCGCTAAGCGATCCAAAGCGCTCTGGACGGTTTGTGGGTCGTCAGTATAATCAATCTGAGACCATGATTGAGACGCAGAAGGGAGTCGTCTAGTAGCAGAACGTCTCAAATGCCTGAAGCTGGTGCTCGATATATATATATATATATTTGCTCCATGCTGAGGCTGATATTGCATTCATGATGCTTCTTCACAGCAGTTGGGCTAAGCCAACTTACACTTAAGGTAGATCTTTTTAATCTGGATAAGTTTCATTCCACATTATTTGGTTTTTTCTGCCTACCTGAACAATCTTCTATTAACTTGCACTCGTAGCTTACTCTTATTTTAGTTATTTTCGTTCACTTTATCGCGTTTATGGCATTTTGAACAACTGAAGCTTTTCTACTTATCGCGGATTCATTGCTAACTCACTTAATTCATGTGCCAATTTATCGAAGAGTTGTCGGCATAACCGTATGCTTTAACAGATATATTTTATTTGCTTATGTCATTTTAAGTGCTTGGTTGTTGCTTGATATCCCCGGTGTGGCTGCGCTTGATGTGCATGTTGACAAGATGCCTACCTGTCTATTACCCACTACCTCATCCATACGTGTGCAGTCCGCCGAAGTGACGTCCACATGATAGCAGCCGACCCCATACGTGCGTTTTAGTCTCCCGCCATAACAATCTTGTCTGTTGTAGGCGCCCTTAGGCGCAGCGCATGAAGATGTTGATAGAACTGCTCCTTCACTTTATCCAAGCTGCAGTCGGTTGATGCGCTGGCGTCGATCACGGAAAGAGCACGCTTGTCTGCACGATGTCTGCTAACCTTACAAGAGCCACGGAGCCTCACAGCGTATAGATAGCTGTTGACTGGAATCCAGTCGAAGAGGGTGGCCTCGGCTCTAGCATAGGGCGATTCCAAAACCAGCTTGCCCAGATGCAGCGGACTCATCATCACCAGAAAGGCGAAGATGAAAGCGGGTGTGTGGTTGGACTGGTGACGGCAGCTTGTAGGCTGTGTTGGAATCCTGCAGTTGAGTTTCACTCAAGCTGGAGACATCAGTTTCAAGGGTCTCCAGTGTGCGTACAAGTCCAGCTTGCTCTCCGATCTGCAGTAATGTGCGCACGTTGAGGGTTACCAGTTTAACTGCATTCCAGCTCGCAGTAACGAAGATGGCAGACTTCGGCGCTGGTACCTCACTGTTGAGGACTGTTTTGGTTGAGTCGCCGGGTGGCGAGAGAACAATTTCATCGGCGGAGGCAGAGTTGTTCACAGTTAAAGAATCAAGTAACAGTGGGGATGAATGATACCAGGAAAGTGTACGTACATTGGTGAAGTTTGTTTGATATGTTGGCATCGTCCTAGGACAGTGGATCATGAGAGCGAGGGAGGTCGTAATTGTGCGTATCCATGATTTCTCAGTAGGGGAAATACTACCCGGTTGCCTAGACCGAAGTAGGTGGGTTGTCCTAGGGGACCACGGCCTGGATCCTTTGGCCGAAGGGCGTAACCTACAAGACAACAGGTTGGAATAAGAGTTTCGCACCCGTTGGGAGCCGGTGACTGAAGATTCAGTCCATACTTTTTTCGGATAACAAAAGCCATACCATGGGCCTAACACTCTCGAAGTCAAAGGTAAAATCTAATACTCGCATTGCTTGCCGGTATACAATGTCTCCGAGAAGACAAGGGCAGTGACTTTATTTAGTGGCGAGTCACATCTGCCACGTCACAATGTTGTTAAATGGACATGTGGATTTTATAGGGAGGACGCTTTCCAGGCGTAAACCCACCACATCCTGGAACACTTCCGCCGAACCATTCGCCGGAACGGCAAATACCCGAACCGCCCAGCTGGCACCACGAGGTTGTTCTGCAGGTCAGCCAGCTCGAGACAAACAGGTGATTATCTTCGCATAGTATGAGAAGTCTACCTTATCTGAGTGGCTCTCATCGAGCGCATAATGACTACTGAGGTGACTTGCGCATGAAAATAGACGACCGACCCGTGCGTTGAGATCCCCAGCAAGGACAACAATGTCGGATTTGCAGGCTCTCATCAAAAGCTGATGAAGTTCACGGTAGAAATCATCCTTGACGGAGTCGGAACTGCAGTCAGTTGGAGCGTAAGCTGAGATCACGAACAATTGGGTCTCTCTTCATCACATCTTTATCTTTTCTTGATCCCCGAAGCTGAACTGCACACAGTCGACTATTAGTCGGGAACAAGTTCAGCAATACGGCCTCGGCTTTTCTACTTAGCGCTACACCAACGCCAGCCAAGCCTGCCGCATCTGCTTCTGTGTTACTAGATAGACGTAGGTGAAATATGGCTCCGTGGTCAGTGGGAGATCTCAACTCAAACACAGTATTGCGATCTTGCAAACACATTTGGGAAAGACAGCAAACATCAATGGCGAGGGATTCCAAGGTGCACGCAAGACCAGCTTGCTGCGCGATCTGCATGAGTATACGTACATTGAATCATGCCAGACGGAACGCGGACCGAGGCCGAAGGAATACCACTGGGCGAGCTCTCTGGGTGACGACGAAACCATCGGGAGTAGAATCATGGAAACAGGAATCGGCTGGTAACGAATAACGGTGATTGGTATTAAATGGACAGGTGGCCTGTGAAGGTGTGTGACTAGCAGGAGCAAACGCAGCTGAGAGCGATATGGCAGAGGAACAGTCCATGGTTTTGTCAGTGGGCGTGATACTGCCCGGTTGCCCAAGTATGGAGTTATCTTAGGGGACTCCACCCTGTGCCTTTGGCTAAATAGCCTGCTCGCAAGGCATCGGGGCGATCGTGAGACTGAGTTAGTCTGACCCCTAACCATTGACCTGTCTGGTATGATTGGCTCTGAAGGCACTTGTAAGTGCCACCCAGCGTAGCTCAGTTGGTCGCATAGGTACGCAAACCATCGCACCGCATTTAGGTCCAGTCTCGTTGCGAGGGACGCCGAATAGCTTTGTCTGCTTGGGCCGCTGTGTGTTTGCGGGTGGTACCATTGGAAAGGAAAATTCACTTCGCATTGCCAAAGGTCGGTCGGCGTTTGTCAATTTGAAACACTTGTGGCGTCGTCGGTATGTCTCTTTTTGTAAAAGGTCGTTCGGACGATGTTGCTATACGGAAGCGAGTCATGGCCAGTTCGTGTAGACGACATACTCCGGCTCTCGACCTTGGACAATGCGTGTTTGAGGAGGATTAGTCGTGTGTGGTAGCAACAAGGTAATTGCAACAGTGAAGTCAGACATTGTCTTATAGAATGCGAGTATTCCCTTCAGCGAGCTGGTTTTGCTGCGCCAGTTAACATGACTCAGCCACGTCCTACATATGTCAGCTGAGCGTTTGCCCTATCGCGCTCTCTTTGCTTTTGCAAGATTTGGCTGGAAGAAACCACGCGGTGGTCCACGTCCACCTGGCGACAGCATATGAAATCGTTGGTTTCACGTCTTACCACCATTAGATCCACACGTCTGCCTGATTGGGGACTCTATGACGAGGAGTGTCGATGGCTGGAAACAATACAGGATATAGAGGATCTGTGTACATGATTGTTTAGATTTAAATGCGTAATGCTTAACGATTGAAAACGACAACAATTGAAGATATGGCGTGTGCAAAATGACAAGAAAATGCTCCATCGTTGACCGCGTAGTCTGCACGCCTGGTTTGCAACCACTAGGTCACCGGTTCGAATCCACCTAGGGATGGACTTCCTCGCGGTATACTCAGCCTGCGCTCGACTGTTGGTGGTCGCGTGGCATCGAAACGCCGTTACGGCGTACAGCTGGTGATTTTTTTTCTCTCCACTTAATGTGCCATGATGATGATACTGTGTTAAACCTATCTTCTTCCAGTGATTCCCATGATTCTGTTTGGCTCTATGACTATTCAATAGACTGCTGCTTATACCAGTACTACTGTCGGACGTTACGCTGTCACTAAATTAAAGACGTTCTTGCATTCTCTCGCTTACTGTTGCCTTTCTCATCTGAGCACCTCTTCTAGAATTGATCGTTGTTTACCCACTTTTAATGGCTGCTATTGCTGATACTGCAGTCATGATAACGGAATCTACCTCACTTTGACTCGTGGATCATATTTACTCGGTTGAACCGAACAGCGCTGTTTCTGTCTACTTATGGATCAGGCAGTTGGCGCGGAACACCTCGGTGATCTTTGAGTTCGGGCTGTTGCTGTTTGTGATGCTTTACAAAGCCAACCACATACCTTTCTTATCCACTCCAACCTTTCTCTCTAAGTAGTCCTACTTGTCCTCCAATCTGGAGTTTGCGTTGGATGTAACGTGCAGTGACAGCGTATCTCAGGCACATTTTTCATAAGCCACTATTTATTTAGAGGTTAACCTCTGGGGTTTTATCCTATTGGGGATCGGCACTGTTCACTGGTAGTATCCTTATTTTTGTTGGTTTTCTTTCATTTCCCCCTTATATTTTTGATGTTCACTATCATGGTAAACTTCTCGTAGCTTTTTCCCTTGATCATTTCTTAGCTTACTGTCTTTTTTCTACTCTTACCGCCACTTTGTTTGTTGTCCCCCAGCTCGGAGATGACGGGGAACTGACAGCAACACAGTAATCGGCGTTGAGAAACCACTGGACCTATTCTGCTGCTCGTGTCTTGATACATCCGCATATTGATTTCTGCGTGCCTTCTTAACTCCGCACCCGTAATTCCACTCTCTCTCTCTCTCTGACATGAATTATATCGCTCAAGCACGAGTTATATCTACAAACGTTTTCGCTAATAAACCACACGCTTTCATTTCCCCGCTCTTCCTTCTTGCAGCTCGTGGCCAAGAGTCGCTTATGAAGCCACAGCCTCATTCGTGCTTCGATATTCCAGCTTTGCACTTGTTTGGCTCCTTACATCCACACTCTCATTCGTTCATCGTATATGAGGCATTCTGAGTGTGTACTATCACGCCAACATGTGTCCTCAAGTGATTCGTGCTGGTCATGATGTTTTATCGTTACATCAATGATGTACATGAGGTGTTCAACGTGTCCACTAAGCTCTCGGCCTATGGATACATCTACTATGCCAGTCTGTACGCAGGTGAATCATATGCCATCTGGTGCTTCCTCGCCTTGTTGGCTCTCATCGGACTTGGAAGCACTGTGGTGTTGACAACTTCTCATTTGTGTGCCATCCTCTTTGCCTACCGGCATTTGTACAAATCTGTATGTCGTTGGACCGATCATTCGTTTGCAGCGGAGTTGCAACATCCAAAGCGCTTGTGCCACAATCGTTCCTGTGTCCATCCGCTGCGTTCCATTTTGCACTACCTTAAAAACACCTATCGGCGTTGCAGTCATCGGTTGTGTTGCTTGCGAACGTTGTCAAACTCCGGGTCCGGTCTTTTGTCTCCTCCAGTGGACACTGATGGCTCATCAGTTATTGTGAGGATTCCCAAACTGCTGGAAGATGGTGCGCCTCCTGCGATTGATAAGTCGACGTCTTATCCTGGAGTGTCTATCATCAAACCTCTGTCCGGCATCGATACCAATCTTGAAGTTAACCTCACCTCATATTTTTGCTTAGACTATCCGAATTACGAAATTTTATTTTGCGTTGCTGATTCCGCTGACCCATGTTGCGATATGGTACATCGGCTACAAACCTCTTATCCACACATCCCATCTCGGTTGATCATTGCATATGAGACAGTGGGCGTCAACCCCAAAGTGAACAACCTTCAGGCGGGCTACGACGCTTCGCGGTTTGACCTTCTCCTAGTCTCTGATTCCGGCATTTGGATGCGCCCCGACACATTAACCGACTTAGTGGTCACTTTGAATTCGGACGAACGGATAGGCTTGGTGCACCAAGTTCCTTTTATGACGCCACGTCTGATCGACGGCAGAGGTACTGGCACAGATGCCCCGCCCAAGCATTTGTCCTCGTTCTACGGAATAGGAAACTCCAAACGGCCATCTTTTGCGTGGATTGTCCAGTTGGTGTTTTTCGGTTGCTGGCACGCCAAAATTTACCTCAGCGCTGCCTTATTTGGTATTAACTGTGTCACTGGTATGTCCTTTCTTATGCGCAAGCATGTCCTCCTGCCCCTCGGCGGTTTCAAAACTTTCGGGCGCTACCTGGCTGAGGACTTTTTTATAGCCAAATATTTTTTAAATCAGGGTTGGCAAGTCCGCCTGTCTCACCAGCCAGCGTGGCAGAATTCCCCATCTGCCTCTTTATCCCAATTCCGATCTCGGATTAACCGATGGTCTCAACTGCGTTTGAGTATGGTTTTCTTGGCCTATATGCTGGAGCCGCTGTCTCGTTGCATCCCCAACGCTTTGCTGGGTGCTTTTGCGTTTTCCTACATTTTTCCACACATTGTAGATCCGGGTGTATATTTTCTCTGCCACGTACTCATCTGGTTTCTTTTGGATTACATTCTGTTACTTCTCATTTACCCAACCTGTGTCCCCTTGTGCATAACAAAATTTGAGTATCTAGTAGCGTGGTCCTTCTCCGAGCTGACAGCCATACCGTTCCATTTTTTTGTTCTCTTCCGGAAAGAACTGCATTGGCGCAATAAGCGCTTCCGTGTTCGCTGGGGTGGACTTTCTGAACAGATCTTTCCTGTACCGAACACCGCCAGAATCGATTTGAACTGCTCTTCTTACGACAAGGAGGTCACAATCACTGAGTCTTCAGGCGCATATTCCCTGAATTGTGGCAATGTCAGCTCAATCAGTTGTGTGCCAGCTAGTGATCCCCACCGTTGCTCTTTTCCACCCTACCCCCATGACGACAAACGCATTCGCGAATAACTGGCAGTTTATTCAACAAGACAGAATAGACTTGCTCTGTGGGGATGCTGGACTCCTTTGGATACAAATCTGCAGAACGCTTGCACATATCTAGCTACTTTGATGGTTATTTTCTTGATCCATTCTATGTTTTTACGATTTTTCGATTGTAGATTTCCATGCGTTTATTCTAATTCCATTCAGGCTTTCAGTTGTCGATTACGTTGAAGTGCCCTTCCTGATCTTTCCATTTCAATACTCGCTAAGGTGCGTTTTGGGTTCCAATTTAGCCAGAGAGTTGCATACTCGTTGCTGAACTTTTCTATTCACCAATCTTTTCCCTTCTCCCGCCCACTAGCAGCTGTATGAATGACTATTTTTACTTTTGTTGTCTTCCGCCGACATTATCTAGTCCCCATTCTTGTTGGCGAGTACTCAGCTCATCCACACCGCAACAGAAGAGCTTATCATCAGCCTGATTGTACATTAAACACTGTGTGACGATTCCCCAGTTTGTCCGTCCAAGGAACCGCGAGTATGGCCCATGATTTGCCAACACCTCGAGATGTTACGTGTAAATTATTCTTCTCCTTCTTCACGTGTTAACAATACATCCAGCTTTCTCGAGCTTTTCTAACTGTTTTTAATCTCTCGTTCCCAAGCTGTCGCTCCATCTGTCCCTGTGATTTGAGTATTTCATTGGTTCCGGGCGTGCCATTGGCTTTAGTCTTTCACTATCATTCTTATTCCTTTGGCTTGCACAGGGTTTTGGGATGCTGCCAACATACATAGTCAGGATTCCCTATTGATTGTTCATCTATATCGCTTATATCTACGAGGTTCTCTCTGCTAGTGTATTTTCTCATTTATTCAATCATCGAATGCGTGGATATACTGCGCGTTATTTTTTGCTTCGATGGTTGAGGGAATAATCACTTCCTTCACTCTCACGCGATATTTCTCGAAGCATCGATAGTTTGCGTCAGTCATCCGTAGGTCGGTTTACTTGATAACTTCATTCCGTCGTCCTTGAGCGATTGCGGTCATTGACGACCTTCTCCGACTCTTCGTTTTGTAGGTCCACATTGCACGTGCCTCGCTTTACTTACCCTACGGAAATAGCACTTTTGTCCTTCGGTATTCTGTTTTCTTTCAAACATGCTTCTGAACCGATCACTATACCCTACATGTCTACTCGTTCCGACAAAATTTCTATCCTTTCACAATCATGTGTCGGCCGAACATCACATCAGCCCCCACACAGTTCCAGGTGTCACCTTCTGTATGGTATAAGGTTAGATGAGTAACAGAAGATAGAATATCCCTAACTCAACTTGCTCCCCCCTCTCGGTCGCGTCGTTTAGTTCCATTGCGGCTTGGCGGTGAAATCAGCAGGTGCACGCTTTCCACTGATAGCCTTTATCCCTGAAGCCGAGCATTGTTAATCGAGCTTTCATTGTTCACTAAGTACTACGTCTTTCCTAGTTCCGTTAAAAGTAGGCGAACGCAGCAACGAGCCACATTTGCACTAATGTCCAGGACGCTAAGGATCAAGTGACGCAGACCGGATGTGCGGGATTGGTGGATATGTGTCTACGCAACGAAATGACGAGTTAAGATGAAGGATCTCCTAACAAATCTTACGACTATCCACCACAGCTTTTGGGTCAAAGCATTGACAATCTGCATTCTACTTGGCGCGCGGCTCAGCTGGTATCCACCATGTGGGTCACAATTAAACATTGTTTATTAGGCACGACAGTATGTGGTTTACAGTACACCTGATTGTTAAGGATATTGATAGTACGAAGACTGCTCAGCCGCAAAACTTGTGAATGGGTTACGATGCGCAATCTCAAAGTGGACCGCGATTCGCACTGAAATGAATCTTGATTAATTCGCTCACGCAATGACTGCTGCAATCAACCGTTTTGACAAGCGTCGCACGCCACGGCTCAGCTAACCCCTCAGTGACCCCGGAATTCGGATGGCTGCCATCTCTGCCTTATGAGATCAAGCGAGTTTGCAATCCGTCATGGAGTGCAAGCAGACGTGCAACAGCCGATATATCCAACTGCCTCAGTTACTATCTCAGTGATCGCATTGACCTAGGTTCACTTCAATGCGAATCGCGGTCTACTACATTGAGATTTCGCGTCGCAATCCATTTACACAACCAGTACTTCAAAATGACCCCCAAACCACGTAGTGCTCAACACAACATTGCTGTGGTATGTGTCCCAAAAACTCACGGTGATTCAACGTATATTTGCAATTCATTTTGGCACCACGACTAGCACACGCTCTGTTATACAGAACAGCACTTAAATTGTAATGTCTATATGCAAATGCAGAAGTATGTACTCTGGTTACTTGACCCATATATTACTACCGTTGTGTGGCCCCAGTGATGCCGTTCGACAATTCCATGTTTAGCGCCGTGCATCAAGCTGTTCAGCTTTTAAGTGGATCTTTTCCTTTAACTCTCGTGGGCATGCCGGTGCTACAAAGGTTCATCGCATATGACTCATTTAGGGAGCTCACCAAGCCAATGAACTTGTTTCTTTGGCAAAGGTGTCCTCAGCATCAGAAGACGAAGTTTCCAGTCCTCTAGTTTGCAATGATTCAGAATACCTGTAGCTGGGTTGGTAGTTAACGTTTTGATTTGCTCTCCGAGCTGAGTAATCTAATGGCAAAAGTTTCACCACTTCGCTCAGGGGCATCTTCAGTACACTGCTGCGTAGAGGAAAATCTCACGAAAAATGTCGTCGGAACGTAGCGTTTGAAATTGGCCTCATCGATCCGTAACCTCTGTTGGTTCGATTTTCGGTCACCTGGTTTCATGCTTTCCCAGCTGTATGTACACAGCATCGAGTTCTTTCTTATTATGGAAATGGACTGCAGTTTTGTGTCGTTAAAGCAACAAGACCAGTGGTATTAGTCGACGATTCATTGGATCCGTACTGTTCAGTGCTCCGGTGGGTATTGTCAATTATCAACTGGAAGGCCAATTTCGCTCTCGCGTAGTGGATCAACGCGTCTATTCGGTAATGTACTACTGTGTTCGAAAAGAAACCATCTTTTGAAATAGCGCGGCAAACGGCAGAAAGAGCGCGCTGCGGCTACTGAGCGCACGTAGAAACGTATTTAGAAAACAAACTAACTTTTGCCGCATTTTGCTCAGGCCGTTAGTTGACGAGCTATAGCCTCTGTAGTGATCACGTGCACAAGTTGCTCGTCGGATAAATGTTAAGATGACAATGAAGGAGCTTGGAAAACAACATGTGTGTCTGCGTGAAATTTTGCTACAAACTTAGTAAAAATTTACGCAAATGTTTCAATTTCTCAGTCAAGCATACATGGAGTCGAACGCAGTGCTATAAGTGGTTTAAGCATTTTGAACACTGCAGAATGTCGGTCGGTGACGATGCCAAACCTGAACGACCTTCAACGTCAACAGCCGATAATCATGTTGAGAGAACTTGTGCCGACAGCCTCGCAAATCATCGTTCAACTGTTCGAGATGTTGCTGACGAAGTCAACATCGGGGTATGATCTTGCCGTCAACTTTTGAGTGGCAAACTTGAGCTGCGTTGTGTCAGCGCGAAACTCGCGCCGCGTTTGTTGACTGATGATCAGAGACAGAACCGTGTTATCATCAGCCAGGAGCTAGTTGCCACTGCCAGTTACTTTGAAAACTTTCTACAAACATCATAACAGATGATGAGACATGGATTCGTGATTTTGCTATTGCAACTGAGGTGCAACCGTCGCAGTTGGGTGGGGGTTTCCTGTCTAACGATGCGTACATGTCGGTCAATGATCACGGTTATGTTCGTTGTTTATTGACTATAGAGGCATTGTCCACTAGAAATTCGTACCACGTGGTGAGATTGTACACATACAATTTGTTTAGTCCATCGCATTTGGATTACAGACCAAATAGGTAAACTACCAATCCTGAAAAGCACTGGACGATCGACTCGCCTTATTGGGGCTCGTCACTTGGTGCGTTCTGTCGGTCCCCTTCAGGTAACTGAACCTATGATCGCTAGCGGCTTGTACTACTAGTAAGCAGCTTATGCAACTGAGTCATGAGGGACGATAACTGACCATCATGGCTTAAATCTAGCTGATATAGCCCGACAATTCCTTCACTGCCATGCAGAGAACAGTGGTTGGCATTCGGGTGCCAGTAACTGTGAATCTAAACAACATTTCGAAGATTGCTGCGTCTGAGCTTTTGATTATTTAACAAAGGATTATGTTTACCAGGGAATTCTAGTGCGTTAGAGGGATGCTGTGCGCAGGCAGAGACCAGAACTGTGGAAAAACCAGACTTGCATACTGCATCAGGACAGTGCGCCGGATCTCACATCGCCCCTTGTTCACAACTATCTATCAAACTCGTTGTGTCCTGTCCCCGTTTTTTCCAAACCTATCCTCAGCAGTTTGTTTGCTGTTTCCTAAACCACGTTCAAGGGATGCAGTTTCCAAACCATGAAGAAGATTCAAGATAATGCGACAAGAGACCTGCGCGCCATCCCAGAAAGTGCGTACTAAGAAACTTACCAAAAATGGAATCACCGTTTGGAATGGGTAGTTTCAGTAGAGGGGACTACTTGGGATTGGAGACTGCTTGAAATGTCGTACGATGAGCAATAAGGATGTTATAGCTGAAATTCGGTTTCTATTTGAACACACCTAGTTTCAACCATGCAGCCTTTTCCGCATTCGGCTTGTAGCAAAACTTTGAAGTGCCTTCATTTTAAATCCTTTTTCCCAATGATGCATCAAGCCAGAATACCTTAGTTTGCCCGTCGTACCCAAAAGATCGATCATACTGTCAGTAGGGTTGTAGGTTCCAGAGGGAAATGTGAGGTGCTCGAAAGTTCGTTTTCCCACTGCTTTAGCACCGCACTTGCCTGAGTTTATTCTGTATACTTGACTCATCGTCCGGAAACAGTAACCAAACGTCATCATAGGTAAGCAACCCTACGTTCTCATGATTGAGTGCTTCATAGGACCTTGTCCGTAAACCCACCGAAAAGCGCTCTGCGATGGTCACCTTATTTGACGTCACGATAACTCCTCGTCGTTATGCAGTACAAAACACTCCAGAGTTGGTGCACGTTTTGCAGTAGGGACGCCTATTGTGAAGGTCCGCATTAATGATCGTGTCGCTTTTTACCAAACCTTCCAGCATCCAATGCAGAGAGTCGTCCCAACTGGCGTTTGCGTATGCCTTTCGATGGACAATTTAATTAGCTTATACATCCATTGAGCCTGCTAGTAATTTCCATTTAGGATACGAGTTGCTCTTGCAGTCACATGGCGTTCATACTCAACGGGCTCTTGTGTTGTCCGAGTGGCTGAAACGATCTATGCTAATTGATTTGGCAATAACTTTTCCCATTAAATATTTCTTCCTGGAATTACATGTTGCTGCCGCTTTTCAGACGGTAAAAGTCATTGTTAGTGCTATTCTGGAGAAACCTAGCGTTAACACGCCTCGAACTACACTTTCAGTTTCCTGGGACCTAGTGCAGTCTCATATTGATTGCACACAGGCCATCTATGTTTAGGTACCAATCTGTTCGTCTCATGTGGGCGGCATCTTTCTGCTCTTTGCTCACGAGGCGGAGTAATGCACGTCCTACGGAGCTATTGCACTTTGCTTTGGCAACCGACAACTTATTTATTTCCATGGACTATTTCAGAACAATGAGTTAGGTCCCTATATTTCCTTAGTCATATTGTCCAGACTATCAAATTAGCGTAGGTGAATGGGTGGCGGCTAAGTCTCTCGCAAACAGTTTCCTCCGTTGCCTGTCAATTGTAACGGATGCTCACCCCTTGGATAGTCACAGTCCGTGGCGGGAAGGATCACACGCTTGGGTCGTAATCTGGAGGTCGCTGGTTAAAGCTTGCCTAGGGGACCGGGCAACGCTCGCAGTATCCTTAGCCCAAACGCGATTGTTGGTTTTTGCGAGGCACCAAAGCATCGGTAGTACCTACCTGTGTGCTGCTGCTGCCTCTTTGAGCTTGGCTTCTCTGGCCTGAAGACCACAGAATCTGACCTTCGATATTTATGCTCAGATTTCTGTACTTTCTTATACCGTTCACTTGAGCTCGAC